GCTCAGGGGGAGTCTGGTTTGGTTTGTAAATTACGTCGATCCCTCTTTGGCCTAAAACAGTCTCCACGTGCTTGGTTTGGAAAATTCAGTTCTATTGTTCAAGTTTTTGGATAAAAACACAGCGAAGCAGATCATTCAGTGTTTTATTGTCACACTGCCCCTGGCAAAAATGTTTATTTAATTGTGTACGTTGATGATATTGTCATCACAGGGAATGATGCTGCTAAAATATCTCAGCTAAAAGAGCACTTGTGTAGTCATTTTCAGACCAAGGATCTTGGAAATCTAAAATATTTCTTGGGTATTGAAGTAGCTCAATCAAGAGAAGGTATTGTCATCTCTCAAAGGAAGTATGCTCTAGATATTCTAAAAGAGACAAGTATGATTGATTGCAAACCTGTGGACAGTCCTATGGATCCAAATTTGAAGTTAATGGCAGGACTAGGTGAAGTTTTCTCGGACCCAGAAAGATATAGAAGATTGGTTGGAAAACTTATTTATTTGACGATTACTAGACCTGATTTGTCTTTTGCAGTTGGTGTTGTGAGCCAATTTATGCAAGCTCCTTGTGTGGATCATTGGAATGCTATCATTTGAATCTTAAGATACATTAAAAAAGCTCCAAGATAAGGATTATTATATGAAGATAAGGGAAATACCCAAATTTTTGGGTACTGTGATGCTGACTGGACTGGATCTCCTATGAATAGGCGTTCCACTGCAGGCTATTGTGTTTCCTTGGAGGAAATATCATTTCATGGAAAAGCAAAAAGCAAAATGTTGTTGCCCGATCCTCTGCTAAAGCTGAATATAGGACAATGGCGTCTCTTACTTGTGAACTTGTTTGGGTAAAACAATTCTTACAAGAATTGAACTTCTGTGAGATTCAATCTATGAAGATGTATTGTGATAATCAAGCTGCTCTTCACATTGCTTCCAACCCAGTATTTCATGAGAGGACTAAACATATTGAGATTGACTGTCATTTTATTCGGAAGAAGTTGTTGACTAAAGAAATTTGTACTGAGTTTGTTGGTTCCAATGATCAGCTTGCAGATGCATTAACAAAATCTTTGAGAGGACCTCGAATGGAATTCATTTGTTCCAAGCTTGGTACTTTCAATTTGTATGCTCCAGCTTGAGGGGGAGTGTTGAAGTATTTATTAGATTAAGTGTATCCTTGTTGGGCATTTATGAGATTAGTTGTAGACCTAGTTCCTAGAATACATCTGTTTATCTTCTCTAGGATTAATCATGCATCTCTATTAATTGTATCTCTGAATCTGTATTTTTATCTCCTATAAATAAGAGAACACAAGAAGATGATTTCAGTCTCTCAAAATCAGTTCTTTATTTTCCTTTTTCTATTTCAAGTCAAAAAAAATTGGGATGAGAAAGAGAAAGGTCAGGTGGAGGTTTTATATAGTGTACAAACCAATTGCTACCAATGGCCAAAGCTAGGAGAAGTCTAATGGTGGTAAGATTCACAAAAGGCGAGAAGGTCTCGAAATAATCAATCCCCTTGGTTTGAGTAAACCCCTTGGCAACCAACCTTGCTTTAAATTTGTCAACTGTGCCATATGTTTTATGTTTGACTTGGTAAACCCATCTGCAACCAATTGAATTCTTGCCATGAGGAAGAGGAACTAATGACCAAGTGTGGTTTCTATCCAGAGCATCTAATTCAGCATTCATGGCCTCGTTCGGCAAGTTGAGAAGCTTCTTTAAAGGAAAAGGGTTCAGCTTGGGTAGAAATATTGTGACAAAAAGAAATATTGTCAGAGGAGCAATTATCATAGGAAAGAAATAAATGCATGGGATAAGGAGTAGAGAAATGAGTATGTGAAGTGAAAGCAACACCACGATAGTATTGATCTAACTATCGAGGTTTGTTTTTAACTCTAAGAGAAGTTCTATGATCAGGTATTGTAACTTGAGAGTTATCAGGAATAAGAGAAGAATCAGTATTGTTATCCTTTGCAAAAATTGTTGCAACTGAAACAGTTAAAGATCGAAAATAAAAAGAGTGATATCAGAAAGATTTAGAATCAGTGTTGTTAGAAGAGAAATGATTAGATGGCAAAGATGAGTAATAAGGAAAATTGTTTTCATGAAAAATCACATTTCTAGACACAATAATGGACTTTGATTGTGGATCATACATAACATAGCCTTTTGCTCCTGGAATCAAGTTTAGTTCTTCCTGCAGTGGCAGTTCTTATGTATGATAAACAGCTAAAACCTTTTGAGATTGGTAAAATCAGGTTTTATAGAGTAAACAAGTTCGTATGGAGATTTAATATTGAGAAAAGGAGTAGGTAGTTTATTTATAATATGAACAACAAGTTTAAGAGAATAAGACCAGAAAGTGTTAGGCATATTTGCTTGAAAGAGAAGAGTTCTACACACATTAAGAAGATGTTGATGTTTCCTCTCAATAATTCCATTTTGTTTAGGGGTTGCAACACATGAAATTTCATGAAAAATTCCCTCACTCTTATAAAAATCATTAAGGAGAAATTCTTTACCATTATCTTATCTTATTTTCTTTAATTTGCAAGAAAACTAATTTTCAATCAAAATGATGAAATTTTGAATCATTTTTCTAACTTCAATTTTAATTTTAAGAAAAAGAATCCAAGTAAACTAACTATAGTCATCAACTATAGTTAGAAAATACTTATATTCATTAATGGAAGAAATTGAGTCAGGGCCCCATATATCAGTATGAATGAGTTCAAACAAAAGAAGTGGATTTACTGTAGCTAGAAGAGTATTTTAAACATTTTTTAGCAAAAGCACAAGCATCACAAGTAACAATAGACGTAGAGCAAATATCATAATATTGAGAAGCAAGAATTTGTAAAATTTTATTAGATGGATGACCAAGTTTCATAAGCCACATGTTACAACGAATAGTATTATTAAGAAGGACATAATGTGGTAAAGAAAAATTTGTTCAAATACACTCAAGTTACAATTTCCTAGGAGATGAAACATGCCTTGATGCTTTTTAGTTGCTCCAATCGTCTGAAAGGTATTGGTCTGCACACAACAATTAGTAGAATTGAGTAATTTGGGAATAGAAATTAATTGAACAGAAAATTAAGGAACAAAAAAGAGTTTCATGAAGAACAAGATTGCCCAAGACTATAGCACCCGAAAATTTAGCAATGACAGAATGATGATTGGGTAAACGTATAAAGATAAGAGGAATAGATTTGAGATTTTGAAAAGAAGATTTAAAAGGACAAATATGATCAGTAGCACCACTATCAAATATCCAAAAGAAAAGGGAAGAATAGAACCTAAAGGTGGACATTGATTAATATTAGTGGCAGAAGAAAAAGCATTTTGTGACTGGTGTAACATGGCAAGAATTATGTTATATTGCCCTTTAGAGAAACCAAACTGAGCATCAATTTTGTCATTCTTCATGGTAGGAAGATCAATAGTAGTAGATGAATCAAATTCAACCATACTAGAAGATTTCAGAGAAGTAGATTTAGCTTTAGGATTCTGGTGATAACCTTGAGGAAGATCGTGCTTAATCTAGCGATTGCCAGAAGTGTGATTAGTTTTGTAACAGTGATCACAATACTTATGGTTACATCCACCAGATTTCTTAGAACATCCCCTTTCACGAATAAGAGAGGAACCTGCATGAGTATTGAAAGAATTTTTATTGGAACTGTCTTAAAAACTAAAAGTGGCTATAGAGTCTTGACAATTAGGTGGGAAAGAGCTACTAAATTCACGTTCTTGCTGGAGAACCAAAGAAAAGGTTTTAACCAGGTTGACATAGGTTCCATAAGCATGATTTGGGAACGAATTTGGGAGAAGTCATCGTTAAGGCCACGAAGAAACTTGATATTGCAATCATCATCACATTCTTTTTGAATCTTTAAAATTAATCCACAAGTGCAAGAAGAAGCACAGTTGCAAACAAGAACGACTGTTCGATATAACGAAAGCTCTTTCCAAAGAATTTGAAGACGTGTATAATATTGAGAAACTTAAGAATCACCTTGTCCGCAACTTTGGAGTTCTTCTTACAAACCAGCAATAAAAAATTTATCACCATGAGAGAACCATTGAAGAAGATCTTTCTAGATGTCAAAAGCATATTCCATTCACATGGCCGATTGCTTGATAGCAGGCATCATAGATCGAGTAAGCCAAGAAATGACCATCTTGTTGCAACGTTTCCAAGCTTCGTGCAAGGGATAATGGGACGGTGGACAAGAAAGGGTGTCGAGAACAAACCTCTCTTTGTTTTCAGTTTCAAGCGCGACGAGCATGTCATGCTTCAATTGCTTAAGAAAGAGAAGATTTGCAAAATTCATGAGATGATAAAAAATAGGAGTAAGAGTCGCCATGGCTAAAACCGCGAGGACAAGGCAAAAGGCAAAAGGCACAGAAACTTCTCATTCAAAGTGAGAAAAACATTGTCGCGTACAAAGGTAAAAAAATGCTTGAATATAAAGGGAAATTCAAGCAAGCCTATTGTGTAACAAAACTAACATATCAGAAAGAATATATAAAAAATATCTCTATCATAATCGAATATATCTATAACACTCAATGAAAGTACCAATGTTATGATAATTCCTAATTTCTAATAGAGGACGATATGATTTGTATTCAAAAAGCAAAGAAGGAAAATAATTCCTAATTTCTAATAGAGGATGGTATGATTTGTATTCAAAAGGCAAAGAAGGAAAATAAAAAGTTGAATAAGAGCAAAGCTCTTCCAAATTAGAGAAGATCTATCAACTCCAACCAATTCCCAGTTCCATAATGGGCCCCCTCCCAATTCAGATTTCCCACCTATAACAGAATTCTATCTCTAACTAACTTCCCAACTCCCCAAAATAGCTAATTTTGAGTAGACATGTCCTTTTTGGCCTATGGGTATAGACCTTAAAAGATTTCTCCAAAGTGGGCTGATTCCTATCACATTCCTTGAAACCAAAAAGAGGCAAGGACAAAAAGTTCAATCATTCCACAGCCTTTTCCTCTGGCATGCAATAGTTCATATAAGATCTATTCAGCAATGCGACTGAGTAGGCAGGAAAAAGCTAGTGACTTGCAAGAGCAAGAGCAAACATGCTATAAGTAATACCAGCCATAAAAGAAAAATATAAAATAGACTTTATAAAGAATACAGTGTAAAACATTCAGTCAGGAAATAATCCCACCTGTCCAGTTTTTCCTTTAAGGCGGGATCAATCTCATCATCTATATAACCGTCATCAAACTCAGGCGTAGGATTAGAAGTATCATCTTCTGCATTGTGTAAATTTGAGGTCTCACTAATGCTCTCGGCTTCAGAACTTCGGGGTCTAATATCATGACCATTTATCTCCTATTGTATGAAAAGAGGCAATAAATAAACACTTCAACATTTTGGTGAGTAGACCATAACCATGTTCATTCAAAATTCACATAGTGCCAAATGATTATTGGTGTATAGGTTAAACAGAAGAACATTTAAACCAACCTTTTTGTTCAGTTCAGATACCTCCTTCAAAGAAGAGTTCTTCTGTTGCTCTTTTTTTCTCCGGTTCTTCTTTTTATTCTTTGAAGTTTTAACTCCCTTTGGATCTGCAACAAAATTATTCAGCTCTAATAAGAAATTCAAAAGGGGAACTGAAGCAAAATATAAAAAGGCTATATATCTCAGACAATTCCTCCCTAAAAGCATCTCAACATAATTTCAGAAGGTAATTAGTAACTATAAATCCAAAAAATCGGCTGAAGTTCTTGGCCTAAATGATGTGACACAACATGTGCACTTTCACAACATTAATGAAATTTGGCACTAAGAAAATATCACACCCATAAAGAAATAAGTTAATTCTGTCTGCAAATAACTTTACTTGTATGTTTTTATGATTAAAATTATTTCAAAATAATATAATTCACCATATTTCACGGCAATTTCATAAACTTATGAAATCAAATTTTGCAGCCAAAAACTATTTCTTATTTCAAATTTACATGAAATTTGGTAGAAGGGGTAAGAAATGCTTGATGCTCATGCAGAAAAGAAGATAAATATGTCAAGATATTTTAGGAAGTTTTAGATTTTATTCCTATTGGTTTTAATTCTATATATTGGTTGTACCTTGTTTTTATTACTAGCACATCAATCCCGCAATCTTAGTGATTTGTTTCCTAAAATAGGTTGTGCTTGTTTCCTAAATTATCCGATCAATCTATGTATCAAATGTATGTAACAAGACAGAATAAAAGTGAAATTATTTTCTTCTAAAGTTGAGAAGATATTGGCGGTCTTCTTGCCAATATTACTTCAGCTTGGGGTTCATAAACCTTGATTGGAGTCGCGAGAATTTATCATCTAAAAATGCTGGCCATATATTATCAAGTATAGAGCACTATCATCTTTACCGACACTACAAACCATCGATGCGGAACAGTTATCTTTGCATTCAGAATTACATTGTCAATATGAAGAAACTTATGCCCAATTGGATAATGGCCGAAGCCTATTCATAAGAACATCTAATGGTTCGCAAGGGACTTCTAAGGTCAATGAGTAAACATTAAATAGAAAGTCCTCACCAATCAGGAATTAGATAATAAGTATATACTTGATTAATCAATAGAGAAAAAAACATGAAGTGAAAACAAAGATAAGGATGGTTAATATTTTAATTTACCTCCATCATTTCCATTAATAAATGACAATAGGTCATCAACTGAACGATCATCCACATGTTCTTCAACTTCAGAATTCTAAAACATGAAAACAGATCATTTAAATCAAAACTTATCTACAATTTAGGTATAACAAATGAAACAATAACACATAAGAACCAGTATTGTCAACGGTTGGTGGTGCATCTTTGAAATAGAAGAAACAGATGGCATGTTACTCATCTTTCATAGCTGGGACCATGCAACCTATGCTACACTTCTATAGATTTGTTTGGAGAGTCAGATCAATATTTCAAAATTTTCAGCTTTCATGAAAGAAAACTAGGTATGGGACAAGATTAGGCAATTGGTGTGGTTTGAGCATCTTTGCTGCACCGATTTTCTTTCTTCTTTGTTGTTTTATATTCAGTTGTTTTGTTGACGAGGGCTGTGCATCGCCTCTTATCTTTATATAGGTTAAAATACAATTTTTATCCCTATAATTTACTTCAGTTTTGATTTAAGTCCCTATATTTTGAAAGTGTAGTTCTAGGTCTATAGTTTTAAAATTTTCAATCCATGTTCGTTATATGACAGGAACTAACACCTAAAGATAATAAAGTTAAAGGGACTAAAACCTAAACTTCTAAAACTATGACCCAAATCAGGGTAAAGTATAAGAACCAAAATGTTTTTAAACCATAAATTTCTCTGCATATTTATGAATCTCTTTTATCAAAATAAATTTACATTTTCTCCAACATTGCTGCCTTGCTTCAAAAATGGTGACATTATGCAATCTGCCATAAAAATATGGAAGTTAATGCAATACACCACTGACAACACTGATCAGCACAGTTATGAAATAAAAGTTCAAACACACATACCTAATTAAGGAATAGGGTTTAAATAAGTTTTTGGTACCTTCAAAATATTCAACATTTTTTATACCTAACATTTAATAAATATGTTAATTTGGTCCTGACAGTAACGTTGATACTTTTAAATAATCAGTGTTTACATTTAATCATCCTAGTCAAATATTTACAGGAATGCTGACATGTTATACTTCAAAATTAGTGTGTCAATACCGTTAATTCAAAAGTAACACAGTAACTGTGAGGACCAAATTAAAATATTTATTAAATGATGGGTATCGCAAACACACAAATTTTGGAGGTAACAAGTTCAATATAGGTCAATTTTGGGGTACCAAAAACTCATTTAGCCTAAGGAATAAGGGCTACAAGTGAGATTGACTGCATGACACATAAAGATAAAGAAACAATTTGGTGGCACCTTTGACCTTTCCCGCTCTTTTAGTTCTTTTCTCTTTTTGGCATACAAACGGTTCAAAAGCCTGATCCTTGGGTCGGCAGTTATATTTCTTAGTGGCTCCAACTTTTCTTCCTGGGTCAAGAGATTGTGTGAGAAATGAAAATAGAAAATCCAAGAAGATATAATTGGCATACAGAGTTCTCACAAGCACCAGACACCTCTGTAAGATCATCAGGCAAATGAAATATATCACGTATCTCCTCTGGCGTTTTCCCTTCAATTATTCGAGCAAGTGCACGGCTTGTGAGATCGACCAACGGTTTTAACTGAAGGCTGTCTGCAGCAGAGGTCAACTCACACAGCCTCTCTGTGTCTATTCTAACAAATTTCTCATCATAAGATTTGCGTTCCTATATAAAAGAACAATCCTTAAGTCAAACTCCTTTCCCGTTTATTTTTCAGACTTGGATCGTCTTGTCAAGTATAAAGACAATAACAAAGATTCTTGAAAACAAGCACTCAAACCTTGTTTGAGCGGCCTGGTACTTGATGAAAACGACAATAATCAAGAATTAAGCTCAACATGGCAGGACTGACTTGTTGAGGAAGACATATTGCACAATTCTTGGAAGATCCCATGCCTTTTTGTATTATTTCTTGACATATCAGTGGGCAAAACATTGCAATTTCTTGTTCCACTTGTTGGATTGAATCATCTGAAGTCTGAAGCCAGACATAAGGCTTCATCATCTGAAAATACAAACAATTATCAGAGAAGTTTCAGTCTCAACTTTAGAAAGAAACTAATGCCAGGTCTTGGTTTTCTGGTAGGGAAGTTTCATTGGATTAAATTAAAGAATGCCATTTTTTATATTCCAGACCAGACAAGTACACAACTAAACATAAAACAATTCATAGAAAAATTGGAATACAAAAGCTATTATAGAGACTACCTGTCTAAACTAAGTTAATTCAATGATTCAAGGGAAGATAATGCACAGAATTGAATGGGCCACATGCGTAACTAATGCCTTTAAAGATCTAGAAAGATAGATTCGCCCCTGAAACTCCCTGTAATTTAATTGATGGTTCATGCATGCACACACAGTAAATTCTGAATCCACAACCCCTTCCCTACAATCTCCATTGTCAAAGCGATTGAGGAGAAAACTGTTACTGAAAGAACTAACTTCTCCTGCCACATTGAAATGCTCCAACAGAATGACAATAACGCTCTGCCCGTACAGAAACAATAACAGTATATTTTTCTATCTTTTACTCTTTCCTCTCTCTCTGAAATACCCCCCTCGTACTCCTAATACAGTTACATCCTTTTCCACATCATTTTTTTGTTCATACCCTTGTTTCTCCTCACATACACCCTCCATATATTGCAACTTCCATTTAAGTCCAGGCCTACACTACCACTCCTATCAAAAACCAGCCCAGAGAGTCATTTCAAGCTAAAACAACTCAGTAAAAACTGAAAACTCAGCTTGTATTCACATAATCAAATTTCGTATCAAATAAGCACATAGTTTCAGATGCAATATTTGATAGGGTGTTGGGATTCAACTGTGTAGATCCAAAAATTGGCATTTATCGTATAAAAGAGCCTACATGTTTTGCAAAAAAAACACAAGAGAAAAGAACCTTCATCTTGATTATTTTGGACAAATTATGAGCTTTACAGAGGCCATATATACACTAAGAAACTCTGTTACTACAACCTATTGAAATTATTGAACAAAGAGTATTTTCAATAATATATTGATTATTACAGGAAAATTAGAAATGGATTAACCAACATATAGAAGAGAAGACATAGCTGATAAATAAAGGTCAAAGGAATACGTTAACAATTCAACCCAAAGCAAAAGGGAAGCACGACAACTCAAATGAAATATTGGGTCACAGATTAAATGGTTGATGAAAAAATACATATTCCCTTATATACAATAGGTAGCATACCTCCGGTTTAATAACTGCCAAGTCAGTTTCTGACATTTGACAACAATTTGAAAAGAAAAATACAGGGATACTTGAAGTTTCTTTATGGTGCAAGGAATTCCTGATTTAAAAATTAAACTTCAAACCCAAACAACTACTTCATACGTCCACTTGTCAAAGGACTTCTTCAATCAGGATGATGTCACTCGAGCAACATGACTCAAATGTACAAGATCCATGGGAGAATTTGCAGTGTTACACAAATCTTATCACGATATTTCAACCAGTAAGTAAATTAGGTGTGAACTTGCCAAATAGCAGAACGAGGATTGATTTGGTATGGCTCAAATTCAAAATGAAAGCTGCACAGTTAAGGATAAGAAGTCAATAAGTGCAGCAGATGACAATATAGAAATGAAGGGCAAACAAATATTTTGTATATGTTAAAGACTATAACAAATCGATGCAAATAAAAAACTTTCTCCAACATTACTTTCTACTTAAAATTTGTGATCAAGTAAGTCAACACCTAGCTTTGTGAAGATACACCAAATGCATATAAAACATATTTGTTTAATTCATAAACTTGTAATAGTGTAGAACTATGTATATCTTCCTGAGAAGTACTTTCTAAGTTGTCTTTTTTACACAAACTCTAGTTTTAATTTCCATGGACAATTGAACATAAATAATTAGTGAACCATCATCACAGAAACCTCCTACATTTAAAGTTTCCAGTCAAGAACTAATGTATCATCCCCCACACCCACCACCCTTTTATTTTAAGAAGGCAAACAAATATTAAATTAAAAGCTATTTATACCTATCATCAACTGAATTGTTATAGGAACATTCATAGTATTATGCTAAAAAAACTCATAACTTGAACTTCGACACCAAACATCATTATATAACAACTACAGTCACCGCACATTAGCAAGGCTCAATGCACATCTTGAACCAATATCAAAGAAGCAGCCTCTCAAGTAAGGCTTTCACTTCTCAAAACACCCGTAGCAAAGTACTTAAAACTAAATGGCTAGAGCTTGCTTTTAATAATTCAATGAATGTAAAATTAAAATTACAAGCTTTTCTTTACCTTGTCTATATAACCTCAATTCACTGATGATACTGTAATTCTTACTTGGATGACATATATTACTAACTTTTAACTTCACACCCAAAAAAATAAAGGAAAGGTAAAAATATAAAATATAAAATCAGCAGATAAATCAACTATGATTCTACTACAATTTTTAAAAAAATAATATACTAACCCACAAATTGAGTGCTTTTATCATTATTTTTCAATGGAAACCAGAAAACAAAAAAAAATGGGGGTCAAGGACATCCCATCATACCATAGTACCACAATCAGTCATAACCATATCCAAGCTCATTTCTGTGGTGAAAAAGAGCTTAACTTTATCATTTTTACAACCTCGTAGTCATCACAGGGATTTCACAGCTAGGCAAAGCAAATTAAAGGGATAACAACAAAACAGCATAAGAGTGTGAAAGCAAGTTTTTTATTGAGAAAAAACACATTTTGAAGAAAACCCACAATTGTCCAACTCGAACTTAGGGGAATGAAAAGCTCAAATCAAATGTAATAATGAATCCGAGTGTACCTGGAAAATGGATTTGCAGAGTAACAAAAGAAGGAAAATGGACAGAATGAAAAAATGTGACTTAAGAAATTTTTGTGACCGAGAAAATTTTCACTTTAGTGGTTTGTAGTTGTAATCGTTGTCAATGTCAAAGACAAAGTGACTAAGAAGACATGGGGAGCAAGAACGACACCGTTTGCAACTGAACCCGGTTAGGTTTGGTTTTGGTATGTTAGGTTTAGGCCCATGCCTAATGAGAAGTAAGACCCTTGGGCTTTAATGGACTCTTGAACCTGAAAATATGAACACACATAATAAAATATGAGAGGAAATGGAAAATTATTTTTGTTTTCTTAGCATAATACGTGAAGATTTGTTAGTTTTCAAATTTAGTTCATAAATTTTTCAGTGTGGTTTTCTTTTGAGACACCCACACCCATGTTCTTCCCTCCAAATGTTTTTGGAAAAAGAAGGTAATTGTTTTTTTAATTTTTATATATTATTAATTATTCCATTAAATTTTTATTACATTATTAGAGAATCCGTTAATTTTTAGTGGTGCTCACAAGATCAATTTATTAAAATATTATTTAAAATTCATAAAAGGAGAAATTTACCTAACGTGACAATTTTGATAATATATAATTATAATTAATCATGGTTTTGTAAAAATTATTTTTTTATAATTAAAATAATCTAAATTAATATATATATATATATATATATATATATATATATATATATTGATAACGTACGTGTACTAAAACTAACTATTTTATTAAAGATAATTATTAAAATTATAATAGAGTTATCAATTATATAAAAATCAGATAAAATATTTTAATCATATAAAATATAAATATTTACTAGTTTCGTTATGAAAAAACATATTTTATCCAATTTTTATATTATATTTATTAGTTTAATGAAATTTATTAAAACTTTATTATATTATAATTTCTAATTTTAATATTTTTGGTTAAAAAATACAAATTATTACTAATTATAAACAATTTTTTAGTGACAAATTAAATTTATATCTAATCATAAATAATTACAGTATTAAATTAATTTAAAAATAAATTATTAAATTCAATTAGTTTAAAATACAAAATAATAATCCATTTATTAATAGCGAGATGAAATTCAACAAAATAAATAATACATAAATGTATATATCTTATTGTATGAAAAAATAACGTTGACTATTTAGACAATATTTTTACACTTACATATATTACATTTTTTTTATATCACATATTTATTTATGAAATTTAATTTCTATATTAATTTTATAATTTGTACATTTTTTATTCTTGTAAAAAAAAATTGTCCCTTGTTATCTTTTAAGTTTATTCTTCAACGTTTGAAAATATAATTTATTTAATTTTTTTATACTTCAACTTAACCTAACCGTGATTTTTATAGAAAAATTGTAACTAGATTCATAAATTATGTATATATTAGTGTTTCTTTAAATATAAATTTAATATATAATAAAAAAAATTACTGATACAAAATTGGTAAAAATGATTAAAGTCATTTTTTTTAATTTAAGGAATAATTAATCTACTTTTAAAATATAAATACCAAAAGAAAAATTCATAAAAACGTACAAGAACAAAGCATGTTTTTAATCCTTAATTTCTTTTATTATATTTTGAGGAAGAGGTAAGGGAGGTAGAATTAAAAAACAAACACAATTTAAAATAAAATTACACTCAAATAATTTGCAGATCTTAACATGAATTCTTTTAATTAAAATATTATAAAAATGTATAATATCATTGAGGAAAAATATGAACTATAAAATGAAGCTGAAAGACTAGAATGACTAATCATCTAAATTAAAAAAACTTTTATCAATTATTCTGATTCTTCAATCTAAAAAAACTTTTGCATTCACTAATTCAGAAGTTTTCTGTACCATATTTTAAAATTATTAATTAGTTTTTTTTTTAATTCACCAGTTGAAGACTTGAAAATTATATTTTTTATATTTTTTTATTGTTTAAATTTTAAAATTAACAAAAAAATATTATTATTATTTTATAAATTTTTTAAAATGATCTTTCTAAAACCTATTTATATTAAAGACAATATTAAATTTTTAGATAGGATATAAGAAGAAAATATGGGAGGGATAAGAAGCTATTTCTGCTATTGATCTGGACCTGATACTCGTTACGGTCCAAGTTGTTTTTTACAACTTCTTTTTTGATAGCATAGCCCAAATACTGTTTTGTTTAGATTAATTGTGTTTAAATCAAATGTCTACTAATTTGGTGATATTTATATTTATATATATATATACCATTTTTTTATTTATATTTATACCGGTGTATCATTTATTAAAATGTGTCATAATTTAATTTAGTATAACATTATTGAGTGTATAAATAAATAAGATACAATCTTCACGAAAAAAAATAGATTCTAAAATAAATAATTATTAGAATGATATGTAATATTAAATAATATTTTGTGAAAAAACTCTTAATATCATGAGATGTATACTATCGTTGATGTGATTAATCTTTAGTCCAACATATGATAAAAAAAAATTGATTTTTAAATATCTGAATTTATAAATTTGTTTATGTTCAGTTTTTTTAAAATCACATTTTTTTAAATATTTGTTTTTTTATGTTTTTCACAAAAAAATTTCTATACAAAATGTGGAAAATTATCATTTTTATAACAAAAATATTAATGTAATGAAATATATTAGTTTTATAAATCTTATGTTTCTAAATATACAAGTTACCATTTAAGTATCAGAAAACTTATATAACTATTTTAAAAAACATCTATGATTAAATAAATATAATTTAGTCTTTTTTTTATAAATTACATTTCCTAAAAATCACGATATTTGATGATGAAAAAAATAATAATCTTACTTTACTAAACTTATATCTAAGTATTTGTATACATATTAATATAACAGCCTCAAAATAAAATTATAGTCCTATAATTTATAAATTTATCTCAAAATATTTTTTTAATATAAAAAATACTTAAATTAATATTTTAAAATAAATATCTAAATTTAACTCTAGAGTCGATCACTTCTAAAATCATTATATTTACATTTACCCAACATAAATAATAACACACAAATTTATCACATGAAACGCATGTATAAGTTATAGGCAAAATCACGATAAAACTAACACAAATACTTAAATATTTTGAGAATATATGCCTTGAATTCAAATTCAGAAACTTACGCTTAAAAAAATATAAACTTAAATATATTTATCTTTAATATAAAATAAAATATAAATAATTTATTTATAAAGTATAATATTGTGTAAATTTACGTAATTAGATTATTAAGAAATTATAAGATTTTATTATATATGTTTTAATAAGATATCATATAATTTGTGTAATAAAAGAAGTAAATTTTAATCTTGGACATTTTGAATATTTAATTTAAAACAATATTTATAATGATCTTATAAGTAAATAAAAGATAATCTTATAATTTTTTTATAAAGAATCTATCAATTTCAACATGCATAAATGATTTTATTGTCATAATAAATTTAATAGGTTATATGGATGAATATTTAAGATCTTGTAAGATAAATCTTAACCATAAACATTCTTAAATTTCAAGTGTTAAACTTCTAAATTAGTTTTTGCCAAAAACTACATTTTGTTTTTTTGTTTCTCCACGTAACAAGATTACTCCAACAAATATAAAGTAGTCTGGTATTGATCGTCCATCTTTTAATGATTCAACTCAATTAACATCGTTATATGTATGGATTGATTGATAATTTGTATTTTTGGTAAATAATAATAATTTTTAGGTGCTAACTTTATATATTTTAAAATATGTATAAGTGCATTAATATGTTGTTCTCCAGGATTATGCATATATAAATTGGTTAACAATACTTAACGTGTAGGCGAGATTTGGTCTTGTATGTGTTAAATACATCAATCTCCCTTGTAAGTATTTCATATCTTAATTTATTACCTTGTATGCTTGGTTGACAAACTAATATACTTGTTTCTTGCAACAAGTTGAAGATATGTTTGTTTTAGAAAAAAAAATTAACAATTTTTTCTTGGATCTAGATATTTCAATCCCAATAAAATATTTTAAGGAACCAATATTTTTTATTTCAAGCTTTTTTGATAAATACTCTTGTAATGTTTTACTCTCTTTAATCATTTATTGTAACAATCATATAATTTACATATACAATAAGTTAAATTATCTAATTGATTAAGAACAAAGTGTGTTATGAATTACTTTAATGATATCCAAATATTGTGAAAAAAAAATCTTCCAAATAACATTTGTAAAGATTGTTTCAACATATATTAATATATTTTTCCAATTTATATACCTTTTTATTATTGTATTTTTTAGGTATCATGTACTCTGGTAGGAGTTTCATCTATACTTATTCATTTAATTTTCCATATAAAAGTGCATTCTTTACATTAAACAACTTCAAAGATCAATCAAAATTTGCTACTAAACATAATAATACTAAAACAATATTAAATTTTGCTACAAGAGAAAATTTGTGTGTAATCAACCTCATATGTTTGGATATATCATTTTGTCACCAATCTTATTTCTAATTGTTCTATTGTATCATCTATTTTGTGTTTGATAGAGTAAATTTATCAACATCTTACTGTTTTTTTTAGTGGAATATCTACATGGATTCAAATTTTATTATTTAAAAGTGAATTCATCTTCTCATTCACAACGGTCTTCCATCTTGAGTTGACGCTTTGTACACATTTTTAAGAATAAT